TTTTAAACTTGTGCGGTTACCGCATGGGCTTCCTGAAGGAGGGAGGAAGGAAGAAGTGGAGAAAGAGTATGGGAGAGTAGAGAGAGTAAGAGGAGGGGAGGAGAAGAGGAGGAAGAAAGAGGTGGAGAGAGAACTCAAAGACGGGCCTGTTGTTTTACATGTGGCTTGATTTCAGTGGGAGGCAGACTATGCAACAATACATTCGCATTTTCATCACAAATTATCTTCCCAGGACGCTAGGAGTAGGATGCCAAATTTTCTTGAATGAATGCTGAATCCGTCTTGATTTTCTCATTTATGAACAAAATTCATTTCCATTTTTAATAGCATCTTGGTTTTGCTTCAGCAAGCTCCGTTACCCCTCTAAGATCCCACTGATGAGGAAGAGTGACGGGGGCCCAGAATCGCCCTGGGGAACTCTAGCCAAAGACACGCTGCTGCCAATTACTACATGATGCCCACAGCAGAGTGCAATTTCCTATTCTTCATAATCAAAAAGCACAGGCATATAGAACTGTTTTTCCTCTTAAACAAGTTAACCCAAGGTTTTATAAAAGTTCTTACATAATGACGTGTGTGCTTTCTAGAAAAAGAAATCTTTTCTAGAAACCAAAGTCCATGATCTCTATTTCCCCAAAGAAAGACAATCCATGGAGTTTAGAGAAAATTCTTAGCACGGGCTTTTGTTCTAGTAATGATCCATTTGTTGTCAAATCAAGCCCCACAGAGCAATCCCATGCATGGTTTGTTGGAAGTGGATCCCCTGGCCTTTCTCCTGAGGGCCCCCTGGGTGCAGCCAGACCTCTAAAGCTCTGGTAGCAGCCAAGGGTGGTAGCCCTATGTCTCACCAGGGGCTCCTCTGTTCGAGTAAGCAGAGGAACCCTCCTGATGCACAGAGGGCTTCTGATGCTGTAACTCTTTGCGGCCGCAGAAGCGTCATCTTACTCCTTGGGAATGGCTGCTGGGCTCAAACTTGTGACTTGTTCGTTAACAGCCCAATGTGTAACCAACCATGCCACCAGGGCTCCTTTGCTCTAGCAAAGAAATGAAAGCTGACAGGGTTGCCCTGAAGTCCACCAACCCTGTGCGAGGACAAGCAGGGGGAGCCTCGAAGGATCTTCTACCCTCGAAACTCCAAGAGAGCCTCTCTTACGACCTAGCTCTGGGGGAGCAGCAGTTAACGTGCATGTTGGGTTCTACCCGGCCGTGTACAGGGAGAAAGCTCTTGTGGTCCAGCCTGAGGACCCTGTGGAGTCCAGACCTGCTCTGACCCACATGCTTCAGGGTCTACTCTATGGGGCAGAATCTCACCACTTTAAGCACAAAGAAAAGGGACAGAGAATTTGCTTTTCTTCCAGCATTTGGTTTCGAGTGCTAAATTTTGAGAGGCTTGTTGTTGGTTAACCGACAGATGCAGATTTGTACCAAGAGATACATTTTGGCGAGATGTCACAGAAAGATGTTTCCCTCAGGCTGCAGGCCTCAGTCCCTCCTTTCAAGCAGCAGTCACGGGGGCTCGAGGGAATGAATGCTGGCTCTCTGGCTGTGCCGGAGATGACACAAGATGGAAAGAAAAGCCACTGCCTGCCTTTGGGCAGGGTCTTTAGGACCCGGTGGAAGGAAAGAGGTTATTTCCCTCCCTTGACTCTAATCACCTCTCAGCTGTCTTCACACACCCTGCTCTACCTCATCTCACAAGGCACAAGAAGGCTGGGAACTCCTCAGGGTCTGGCATTTGAACTCCAGCCCTTTCCTCTCTCTCCTCAGCACCCAAGAGAGCATGCAAGGCATTTTGTGCATTAATTCGGGTGACCAAGAAACAAGATGGCTGAACGCCTCTAGATGTTCATATCCTACTTCATCCGTCTAGCGATGTCGGGGGAATAAGCTAAGAGGCTTGACACTAGGGCTGGTTATGAATTGAATTGTCTTGGCCATCCAAGGTCAGCAGTTCAAAACTGCCAGCTGCTCCCAGGAAGAAAGACAGGGCTTTCTACTCCTGTGAAAGGTTACAGTTTAGGAAGCCCAGAGGGGCAGTTCTTCCTTGCCCCAGAGAATCGCGATGAGTCTGAATCGACTAAAATGATTGAGCCCCATCTGCCAGCCTCACATAGATGTTGGACTCCTAACCCTTCTGTTAGGCTAATCCACTAGGAAACAGGTTTTCTAGGGCATACTAATGAGAACCTACCAGAGATCCCTTCAGGACCAGTGGTGAGAGTGGCAATACCAGGAGGAGGGAAGATGGAGTAGAAAGGGGGAACCGATTACAAGGATCTACATATAACCTCCTCCCTGGGGGATGGACAACGGAAAAGTGGGTGAAGGGAGACGTCGGACAGTGTAAGATATGGCAAAATTATAATAACGTATACATTATCAAGGGTTCATGAGCGAGGGGGTGGCGGGGAGGGAGGGGGAAAATGAGGAGCTGATATCAAGCGCTCAAGTAGAAAGCAAAGGTTTTGAGAATGATGACAGCAACAAATGTACAAATGTGTTTGACACAATGGACGTACATATGAATTGTGATGCTGTATGAGCTCCCAATAAAATGATTTTAAAAAAAGAGTCATCTGTCCTAAACCTATTGACTTCTGAGAAATACCAAGGGCAGATGAGACCCAGAAAAAGGAGTGCAAGACCCCTGCTACATGGGGATCGCCATGGAACTGATGGGGATGAGATGGGGACCTTTCCCCACAGCGGGCAGAGAAGGAGTCGTCCCCTCGAGCTGGCACCTCGATCCTGATTCTAGCCTCCTGCGTTTCCTGAGGAGATCCGACCATCCATCAAGGGCTCCCACTGTGGTACTTCTGTGACAGCATCACTCGGCAGGGCAGAGAGCTCTCTTCAGCTGAGCACTCCAGGAGGGTGTGGGCCCCGCCAGAGCAGAGGGGAGCGGTCCCAGTCCCATCTAATAATGCTTCTGCCTCAGGAGTCAGATCCACCCCTGCACGTGTGTGCTTGCTGCCACAGGATGACCCTTCACAGCCAAGGGACTGCCCCAGGTCATCTTCATCCTGGGCCTCCGGACGCTATGGAATCATACTCTTTCTGGCCAAGTTGGCAGGGTGTTTAAAAAGAGAGAGAACACACTCACACAGCCGCACACAGAGCTACAGGTTCAAATCAGAGTTTCTGAGTTGTATACACCCACCTTAAAGGGTGTTTCAAGATGCCCCTTTTATGTAAACTTGCCCCTTGCCTAGAAACTTCAAATATGAGGGGGAACAAATGAAAGGATCTACCTGATGACCACACTGACGCTAAGTGGACCGCAATAACCAACCAGAACCACGCCCGCGGCCTTCCAGCCTGTGCTACCTCACAGCAGCTCCCTCTGTGCCTGTGCTACCTCACGGCAGCTCCCTCTGTGTCTGTACTACCTCACGGCAGCTCCCTCTGTGTCAGAGCGGAACTCGCCACAGCCCCTTCGTGGCTGTGACCTGTCCGAGGTAGACCACCAGCCCTGTCTTCTCGGGCACCTCTGGATGGGTTTGAACCTCCACACTTTGGGTTAAAAGCCCAGCACATAACTGTTTACACCACTCACGGTCGCGCCTTTCTCTTGGGAGCTGAGTGTTCACGCATGTGAACAGCTATGAGGAAAGTAAGCTCCTCACACACAGTCTTGAGATGCCTGGTGTCCACTTCCTGAGATGCCAACGCATCAATGGCCGGCTCAGTGTTCAGAGCACACAGGCCGAGTGTCCATTCTTTTGTTAAGGTGCTCAAAGAGCAGAACTGGTGAGATCTGAGGGTTTGAGGACTAAGACTGGGTTCCCAAACCTTTGCTTGCACCAGTATCTTCACAGGTTTCCAAACTTATTTGGCCTCTTGTCAGAAAAAAACAAAACAAAACAACAAATGCAACACCTCACTGTCCCCAGGCAATTTAAAACACTGTCTTAAAACTGTAGCTCATAATCCAGGATAAGGGTAGGTATCTGCTTCTGCAGCCCCCTGGATCATTCCAGTGCCCCCACAGGGTGGTGTAGCCCACTGTGGGAAAGGCTGCCCTCAATCATAGATGGCTGGCTTTTCCATTGACCTAGGGCAGGGAGGAGAATGTCCAGGTGATGCTACTGTGCCTGGCCAGGGGCTCACACTCGGAGGACCACCCCTTTCTGGACACGCCTGGGCAGCAGCGACTCATCCTCACGGGCGATAGCGTATGCCTCAGGGACTCGGAGCATCCCAACGACTTAGCAATCTTGGTTTTGGCTTCTGCAACTGTACTAGCAAAGACCCTCTTTGCCTGCTCACCTTACAACATCTAAGGGAGATGTGTTTTAGTCCCTGACCCAGATGGAGAGAAAGGCCCACCTGATGCTGTCTCCCTCATTTCTCTTTTGACAAACCGGGGTAACCGTGGTGCCTTTAGCACCTCAGACCAGGCAAAGCACACAGAGCAAGGTGCTCACACAATATGTCTACTTTCTACACCTCACAGGGTGCTAGCCCTCATAGGGTACCAATTCAGAGCATCTTTTTGATTACAGATTAAGGGAATTAAAGTTAATTGGGGGCAAACAAAAGTCTAATTCTTCAGCACACCAGTTCAGAGGCTGGAGAACTTCTTTAGGGATTAAGCAATAGCCCCGGTCAGGAGCACACAAACCGAGAGTAAATTTCAGCTCTAGCGGCTGTATCTGGAAAAAAGATTTTTATGGCCACAGGCCACAGCCATGGAACGAGTCTGATGGCTCCAGGTCTCCCTGCTAAAGAGTGACCATTGGAACAAGCGGAATCACTCAGTTCCCAAGAAGGAGTTTAATGCCCCATTCATAAAAGGCAGGGCCACTCAGAGATAAAAGTTTAGTAACGCCCAAATCCAAGTGAGCTGTCGGATCCCTCTAGGTGTGTAGGCCCCATCTGAGAGGTGCCAGGTCATGATGGCCCCTCCTGGGTAGGGGGTGGTTTCTGGGATACCCGATCCGTGGGGTGGGGGGGTTTCTGGGGTTACCTGATCTGTGGGGGGTGGTTTCTGGGGTTACCTGATTCATCGACTCTCATTTTTTTAGGCGGGCTGTCACAGTTCTCATCGTCCGACATTTCCATTTCTTCTTCCCGGCGGATCCCCATGAGCTGCTCACTCTGGGCATTTCGGAGCTCCTGAAATGAAAGGACGGCCCACCGTCAGTCAGGGACACAGGCCAGCACGCCTTTTCCAGGGTCTTGCTGGTGGACTATCATGGACACAACAACATTTGGAATCAGAAGCTTCCATCTCCCAAATCGTGCCCTCCTTAATCTCGGACGGATTTCTGTGTGGTGTGGGATGGTGAGAAAGGCCTTGGTTCTGGACTTGTAGTAAGTCCCTGCTCTACCAAGGACGAGTCGCAGGCTCGTTAGTAAGTTATCTCTTCTCCCTTAGGTCTCTGTTTCTCCATTTGCATAAAAGTTAAGTTGGCATCACTTTTGAGCCCACAGACCTGGGGACGATAACTTCATTTTCTCCATTTACTAAAGGAGTGACAGGTCATTGAGTTTTCCTGAGCTTTTTCCTAAGTGGGGCAAGGCCCTGTCCCCGATGCACCTCCGGGTAGCCACGACCTGCTAACCCTTCTGATAGCAGCTGGGCACTCATGCTGCCCAGGGATTTCTAGGGACAATGGGCAGTGCCTCCTCATTTGACCATGCCACCGAAGAAAACGAGGAGCCGATTCCATCTCAAGTTACACATCAGATCTCGATCCGGGATATGACATGTGCTTAGCAGGAACACTTCTAGGTCTCGGGCAGCTAATTTTTCTACTGACAGAGAGCCCAATTCCCAAAGATGCGGCTTCAAAGTATTTGAAACAAGGGGGTGGTGGTGGTGGTGGTGGTGAGTCAGGTGGAAGATAAGTGAGGCTGAAAAGGTCTGTTGTTTTGTCCCTAATTAATGACAACCGTCATATGCAAGCTGTTCCTGGGAGGAAAGGTAGCAGAAAGGGGGAAAAAAGAAATGGGGGGAAAAGAAGCTAAGGGTTTTCCCACAGGGTGCCTCGGGTTCAGCTGAACACTCTCATAAATCTGTAAAAGTGCTGCAGATAATTAACAGATGCCGTATATGGGAACGTGGAAAAACCAGGGCAATTATCAAGCTTACACGCAACTGAGAAATCATCCACAATGTTAAATTACCAACTGGTACTTAATCAATTAAGCGACACGAAGGAAAGAAAATCAAACGTAATTTATAGTTCTGTTCGTCAATGTGTATCAGGCGAGAAGCACGGCTTAGGACCGCACAGCCCCTGCACGTCAGGAACAGCCCTTTCTGCCTCTCAGCGCAGAGCAGCGCAGGTCAGCCTCCTGAGAACTATGCAGGAAGCCTAACATACCTTGCTCAGCTAGGAGGGCAGGGACAGAAGGGAGTAGAGTCAGGTGGGGCTCCAGAGCTCACTGTCATGGAGTGGGTTCCAATTCATAGCACCCGATAGGGCAGAGTTGAGCTGCTCTTGTGGGTTTGCTGAGGCTAACTCTTTAGAGGAGCAGAGAGCCTCATCTGTCTGCAGCAGAGTAGCTGGTGATTCAGAACTGCTAACCTTGCGGCTTGCAGCCCCGCCTGTAACCACCAGGTGTGGGAGGGAGCACAATGTACCTCAATGTCTGATAGTTGCTGACTATCCTGAAGACAGCATCTTCATGCCCACATGTATTCAGTCCTATGGCCACCTGCCTTTAATTCCCTCCCTAACATTTGTTTTCATCGTATTTGTGAGAGGAAAAAAGCCACCAAAAGTAATTCACAGACAGATCATTTTCAGGTCTGTGTGGGGGAGAGCATCAGCGCCCTTCATGTTTTTTCTGGACCCTGAAAATCTAAACAGCAAAACAAACCAAAAACCCACCTCCTCTTTACTCATCCTCCTGTCGGGAAGGACAGAACTGTACCAGCCACAAGCCACCTTCTTAGGCATTCGCAAACAAAATGAAAATGTCTGCCTTGACAATAAATTGCACTAGCATTTCAAGTGTCCCATTATTGTGAAGCCATTCGGTAGTCACCATAATGAGGGTGATAATAAAGGATTCATTTGGTATTCATGTGGATGTTACATCCAGTGCCATTGGTATTCAACTGTCATTTAGCATTAGTTAATGGGCACTTAAAACGCTACCCAAATGACTGATACCCCAGTACTTGGTGGCTTCTCAAACTTGACATAAAACACTTACTTTGCAAGTGGGCACCAAAATCATTAAATAAATAAACCTTACCTTCTATATATGTGGGGCTTTGAGAGAGTGGGATATCATTTAGAGCACTTTACTATTAACATGCTGGAGATGGAGAGGCATCCAAAATGAAAGACATTCTCTTATTCCAGATAAACAGATAAAGAAAGAATCAAACAAAGACAGTATACTTACTTCGAAGTGACAGGTTCAAAGCTTTCGCTACATTGCAGAATCAACAACAAAAGCTGGGTGACCAGTGACTCGTGACGCAGTTTGGTCCCTCTGGGTGCCAAGGAAGGTCCTGCGGTGGTCCCCTTCCTTGATGCCCAGACACTCACACAGCACACATGCCTGGGGGCTAGCCTGTCCTCTCACTCCCCTGGGGAATTTCCTCAGGGAGGGGTGGGCCAGGGGAGAGGTGTGAGAGAGCCCAGTGGCTAGGACAAGGGACAGAGACATTGCTTACGAGGAAAAGACAGGGATGGAAAGGCATACTTGCGATTGTAGCCCCCAAAGCAAACCATCAGCATCACGTAAAACACAGAAAACAAGTATTTACACCCAAGCACGCTTTTGGCTTTAAATGACACTTTCATTCACAAGGATTTATTAAGCAAAGCATCAGAGTTCCCCTCTGACATCCTCACTATGACTGGGAGAGATTATTCTCCACCTTGGCAGGAGAGAACAGCGCTCCAGGCGGTCTGTGGTAAGTCAGCCGTGGCCCCAGATAAGGGACAAATCTAGGCTGGGTGTGAGGTGGAAAATGAGAGGGCACAAGGGTGGGGGTGGGGTGAGGGGGACTGCCCACAGAAACAGAAACAGGCATGGCTGCAATCACACTATTCTCTGCCAATCCAGCTGTGTGATGGTGGTTAGAAAGTAATAGTAAAATCACCAACCTCGGAATGCTTTCGCCAAATGTCTATGTTCTTGCGCTGGGCTTTCGAGAAATGGTCCCAAGCTTTTTGTCTGGTAGAAGCGTTGAAAACGGCCACAATCTGCTCAACTTTGGTGAACAAGGAAGTCAAACAAGACAAGTAATTTATGTTGTGATCACTCTAGGGAAGCAAAGCAAAGACACTCGGAGTCTATGGATGATGGCACGATAGCAGTCACATCATCAATAGCCATCCACTGTGTGCCTTTTGTACTTACATTTTAGCAATGGTGGGGAGGTCTCCCTTCAAGTCTGCCTCCATAACTTTAGGTGTAAACACACTCTGTGCATGACTGGGGAGGGCATGAGCAGCTGCTTCTAAGCACTCTTTAGCACTTGTCTGAAAATGTGACTTGGTGCATCTCTACACCTGGCTCTATACGCATACCAGATCCGGGGCTGCCACACAGAGAACAATCTCTAGCTGTTGCTTGGGCTGGGGCCCAGAAGTGTGGCTGGATGGTGCGGCTGAGTCAGAAAGAGCCAAACATATATCTTTTTCTCTTGCGATCTCCCATCTCAGGGATTCAAGGACAGCCATCGAAAGCCATGACACTGTCCAAGTGCCAAGGTGGGGCAATGGTACCGTGTGTGTCACAACTCCCCGCAGTCTCACAGATCATGTTTACTGTGGGCTCCTTATTCTCTCCCCTATCGCACCCACCAGAGCCAGCCCTCTGGCCGGAAACAGGAGCTATCTCCTCTACTTCACGACAGACCAAAGCTCACCCAACTAGCAGCTCTGGCATGCCGATTTTATTTCAAAACAGCACGGCACCCTCCATAGTTTGTGTGGACCACACACCATTCTTTTATTCTTTTACCCCTGTCATGTGGCCTCCGCCTCCCTTCTGACTTCCCGGCCACCTAAAACTCTAACTCTACTCCTGTCCTCTTTCCCCAATTGACTTGATGTAACACTTGTGTGTCCCCTGTACTTGACTTCATGTAGACTTCTGGATCTCTTTAATGTTGAGGGTTGGAGAACACATACAGGATTAAATGGGATTCCAGTGGTGGGTGTTTGAGGTAGGGCCAGCTATCTGCAGACTCAATTTGGGTTAATAGTTACTGATCTAGTAAGCATAAGATTAAGGAAACAACAGTACTGAATTAACCATAGGCTTAAACGCCTGCTCCGGGAAATTTAGTTAGGAAGGCGCAGTTGAAACTGGCATTTCATGGAGATTATCACTATATCTAATATAAATCTTTAGTGATTCTCAAGGCTCTATTAAAAAAAAAAAGCGGTCTAGCAGCTCTCTCCGAGCTTTTGGTATACAAAGACCAGTGAGTAAGAGAAGGTTCCCCACATTTGAACAATACCACATCACCACCATTTTAAAAAGGAGTACTTAAAGTAACCCAACAGGTGTATGATGAAGAAGGAGGGGACAAAAGGCAGATTTCATTCACTTACTATCTTAAAAGATAAGCCATCACTTTGCATCAATGAGTTGTTTTTATGGGGGCTTTATACTGCCTGCTTTCCACCTCAGGAGAACCCCAGCTCCAGGTGCCCCTAGTTTTTAAATCCTATCATGTATGGCATGCTGAACCTGAATCACTGGGGTTTTAACTTGGCTCACACTCCCCTTGAGCTCACAGGGCTGGTGAGGATGCTTCTGCTTGGCATCCCTGACCTCACCTGGAGAGATGGACACTGCCAGGCTAGTCACCTTGGCCCGCTCTATGTACTGACCTCCCGCTCGCCTCAGCTACACTGCGGTGTGGCTGGCAGAGGAGGGAACCCCTCAAGCACAACAGCTGGGCTTTCTGCTTGCTTTGTCTGCACACGGGCTAGGCTGGGGCTGGGACTTCGGGAGCCTTCTACTGGGATGACAAAGAGCAGTCAGGCCAAGAATGCAGGAAAGCAAGCGGATAGGGATGGGATTCACTGTCCAATGAGACCAAGTCATTTGGGCAGGTCTGACTGCTTCAATAGCAGAGCTGTCAGACTGGCTTCCCCGTGAGCTCATTCCTCTCACCCTGGCTCCGTCACACGAGGCCTGAGGGAAAGGCCCAAGAAGTGTTGAGGTTAAGTGACTGGCTGGTCACAGTCAAAATATTGCTACCAGTCAGGGAAGGTGCTTAGTAGAGGGCTACACTAAAGATAACATTACTTAGGTTATTGTGCCTGGTGACAGGATTGGAAGGTAAGGGAGAACCAGAATGCATGTGGAATATTACAAAGGGAACCCACGGAGGAGAATGGCCCAATGACCTAATACTGCAAAGGATCAAGGGTAAAATAGATCACCTAATTAATTCTTAAGCCAACTCAAACCCATTAACACAGAGTCAACTCAACTCATGGTGAGCCCATGTGTTTCAGTGAACAACTGCAACATAGGAGTTTCCATGGCTATAATCGTAGGGAAGCAGGTCGCACAAGACCTTTAATTTATGATGTCTCTGGTTTGATTTAAACCTTTAGTCATTTGGCTAATCGCCATGCACCAATGGTTTGTGTCCTGAACATATATTTAAATCAAGCAGTAGCTAGTTCTCATTTGGAACTGAGTGCCTTAGCTATTTAGAGCAAGCTATTGCCACATTCAAACTCATTCATTCACTCTTTCACCCATTCACCAAACATCTGGACCTTTAACAAGCACAAGGCAGTTAAAACCAAGTGCTAGACTTCTAGGATTGAGACATAGTTCCTAACCTGGCGGATATCAGAGTCTAAGTAGAAAGTAAGCAAGCAGATGATTACAATATGCAAGGGAAGTCTGCATGACAGCTGTTGGGCACAGACAAGAGAGTAATTAACTCAGGTGTCAAAGGTTCACTAAGAAGGTGACCCGCTGTGGCAAGTCAGCAGAGAAGGCTGGGGGTGGGGGTTGGGGGGATCATACAAAGCTGTCATGGCCTTTGTGGGAGCGTGGTTGATGAACAGAGTGGCTGATGTTGGCTGAGGAAGGCTTGTTGGGTATTAAGCCAGAATTGTGAAGTTCATATTGTAGTCCACAGCAGACACAACAGGGCAGAAGAGATGAAGGGTAGGGTTATGGAGAGGGTCTGCATTGGAAGGGTGGAGAAAGGAGTCCTGTGACAGGGCCCATCGGTTGGATATGGCAATTGATGTATTATGTGGGAGGAAGGGGGGAAGGAGTCCAAGATGACTTAGTAGTGGAAGCAAATCATAGACCCAGACAAGGATGAAAGGGGGAGGTCTGAAAAGGAAGAGCAGAAATTTGCTTTTAGACATGATGTCTGAAGGCCACCCCGAAGGAGCTGAAACACAGACTAGAGGTTCAGAAAGAAGTCACAGGTCAAAAGGATAGGTCTCAGGTTTTCTGGCCCATCCTCAATTTGATACCATTTTATTCTTTTCCACAGGGTAGTGCATTAAAAGGCAAATGAAATTTGATTTAATGTCGTTCTTTCCTTATAAAGTTTTGCACGTTTTCACATATGCATAACTCACCAAAGCAACAACAACTAAAAAAACCCAAATAAACAAAGCCTAATTCAGCTTCAACTTAGGTTGGAAAAAGTAGGACCCAAGTTTACTGCTCTCCTTTCTGCAGACTTCCTTCTCAACAGCCATTTGTCTTGCAAATGCCAGCTCTTGCACACACAAAAGGACTGAGAGAAGTGCTTGGGTCAGCAGGAATTCATCCTCATTAAGGGGAAAAACCACCTGAAAGCATGTGCCCTAATGGATGCGCTTCAAAGACAGCAGCTTATTTTTAAAATCACAAACCAGGATGACCATGAGTTTGAATGTCACGGTTGCAGACCATACAGCACTCCTTGTCTGTAGCAAGGAGTGCCGAGAGCAGGCTGCTGCATTGACAATGCTGCACTACTTCTCGTGTTTCATAAGTAATGTTTGCTACCCACACAAATACAGAAAATAAACGAGCTCTAACTCACAGAGTTGGTCTCTCCATCAGTGTCTTCAGCAAGATTGGAGCCAGCGAAGGCCATGCTGTGGAAAGCCAGGTAAACCTATGGAAATCCCTTGCTGTCCAGTCACTTCTGACTCACGGCCACCTAATGGAGTAGAACGACCCCACAGGATTCCCAAAGGTGTTACCTCCACGGAAGCAGATGGCCTCATCTTTTTCCTGCCGAAGGGTTTGAACCGCTGACTTTTCAGTTAGCAGTTGAGTGCTTTAACCACTGTCAGGGGCTCCTTCCATAGTAAGGTAGAACCTAGATACAGATTCTCATGCAGATTCCTTAGAACAATTTAAATCTCTTCCTCCCCAGTAAAGAGATCAAAGGACAAGGGCAGAGTCTTAGCACCTCGTGTCTGCAATTTAACTGCCCCAGCAGATCACCTCAGAAATCACAATTTGCTTGGCCCTTGCTCTCTGGATATTGATAAATCCAAGGAATGACCCTGGATACGATTCTTTCCACAGCATGGCCTTCACTGGCTCCAATCTTGCTGAAGACACTGATGGAGAGACCAGCTCTGTGAGTTAGATGACCTTCATGCAACACCTGTGTTCCCTCTGAAGCACGCAAGCATGACTGAGACAAGAGTACTGCTGAGACAGCTTGTCTGCCAGACGTCCAGTGGTCATAGACACGGTTTGAACACGTGCTGCTTGGGATAAACTGGGTGTACACGTGGGAACTGGAGCCACGGGAGGCATCCTCTCAGACGTGGTTTAGCCTTCAAAATTCCCACCAATCCACAAGACTAAGGAATCTAACATTCCCCTCCCTCTTCCCCCTTTCCTCACCACAAAATATCTGGATACCTGCTGAGTTCAGAGCTGAAAGAGACTTTCATTCACCAGCTCTGTACGGTATACACTTAGGAAAACAATCAAAATAAACCATCAGTCCTCTCAGGAGAGGGGCAGCAGCGAAGAGCAGGACTTCCATGAACTCAGAAGTAAACCACATTTCAACCCCGTCCCTTAGAAAAGATCAGAGCAAGGAGGGCAGAATCACATGCAGGCCGCATCTGGATTCCGAGTCTGGAGTAGAAAGTGCTCGGCAGTTCTCCCACAGAGCGGCTGGTGGGTTTCAGAGCCCTGGCCTTCAGTTAGCAGTCGAGCGTTTGATCCCCAACAGAGCACCTTAGGAGGTGGTGGTGGTCA